GTCATAGAATACTCCTATAGTATTCTAACTCTAATGTACTTGATCTAGTATTCTCTTGACTGGTGTTTAGGTAAGTTTTAAGACTGTTGCAACACCACATCACTCCCAAACACATGTCGGTCACATCTCGAATGAATATAGTTGATCAGGCTATATTGATCCTAGCTATGATTACATAACTGTTCAGGTTTGACGACAGTGTTCAACCTTTAAATACTTTAGTTCTGGTCTTCTTGTGATACTTGGTCTAGTATGTATACATGTATAAGCAAGTAGGTATATTTTTATAACTTATCGTTATATTCTTTAAAATATATTATTATCCAGAGCACTTAAGCCCCATTGTATTTATAGTTGTATATCTTTTTATCGGTTGATATACTTAATTCACTATAAACAATGCTCTGATATCAATCTGTCACACCCCAAAATCGGAACGGCGGAAACGTTCTGGGGTGGAGGACGTCATGTTTAGTATCACAAGACATGCATCATAGTAAGCAAAGTAATGAACAACCATTTCATTAGAAAGAAAGTGTTTACAAAGTTTGTGTTCACAAAACATAGAATACATAAGCAAATAACAATCAAGACTTGAAGCTATAATGCTCCATCTTCTTAATTCCCAGCGCGAGTACCTGTCTACTAGGCTCCTGAGAATACAAGTTATTTGAAAGAGTTGATCAGCAATTAAGCTGGTGAGTTCATAAGATTTTAGTGATGTAAGTAAGTTGTAAAATGTTGTGGTAAAATCCTGTTGAAAAATGTAGTTGAAAAATGTAGTGAGTTGTAAGTTCTGTTTAGAAAAGTTCGCCTGTTCCTCTTAGAAATCCTATATTTCCTACTTTGAAGAAAGATACGTAAAAATGATTCTACAATCCTTTCTATGAGTACTAAATGGATACAAGTGATATAAAACTCAGAGTAAACAAACAATCGACTGTGCGCATCTGCCCTAAGCTCACAACCAAACAAGGAACAGGAAGTAAGGCGGATAGCACACATCCCATTGTTTGTTAGATCATTGTTGTATATAACTCTGGCGTGTTCACTCGTTACTCATGGAGTTAATTGTAATGGTTTCTTTATATTTAATGAAAAGATTCCTTAAGAAAACCCTTATTTCTTATAATAAAATGGTGACCACATTGATTACTTCTATAATCACTTGATTTATACTCGCTATATATGATCTAATATCTGATAGAGAGTTAATTGGGTGAATCTGCCCTAAGCCCACAACCAAACAAGGAACAGGAAGTAAGGCGGAAATCACACATCCAACTACCTATTGGGTATTAATGATATATAACCATGATGTATAAACTAGAGTATTATAGAGTTAATCACCTAAGGTCCTTTAAGTTTATCCTGGTTTAATAAAATGGATTAAACCCTTAACTAGTAAGTTTCTAGTGTTGTATACCAAAAGTTCTGATTTGGAAAGTATGTTTTCTACTAGAAAACTGTGCATTGACTCTGTGTCCTATGACTTGACCCATACCTGGTACCCTTATGATGACTCAATGTATATTTGGACATATATATCTAGAATCGAATTAATAATAGACTGGGTGAATCTGTTCCAAGCCCACAACCAAACAAGGAACAGGAAATGAAGCGGAGAACACACATCCTATTACCTGTCGGATCCTATTGATATATATGTATCCTTTGATGTATACATTAAGGAATCATAAGATTAGCATTATGGTCCTTTCTACTAAACGTAGCCTTCTACCAAGGCCTCAAATGTTATGTATGTTTGTTTCTTGTATGAGTGTGTATTTTCTCAAGTGAGACTATCATTAACTAAATATAGTTTATACATTAGTGAATATGTGAGAAGATCACAAAGTACATGTAATAGGGAAAATAATGTTTTTCCTTAGCAGTGACACTGCTGGCTATAAAATGATAAAATACAGACTCCAGGTAGTATTAAATGTAAAATACACCTCGGGGAGTCTTTTTGCCTTTAATCCTTGGTCGGTTAATTAAAGGTTTAATGTGAACTCGTATGTAACCATGCTGATCGACGACTGAATAAAAGATGACCCTCCGGTGCCATATGTAGTGAGGTGACATTTGTCACCCCTTGGCCTTATCAGCTGGGACTGTAGCTAGCAGTCAGGGTGTGGGAGTGTCTGTCCCGTATAGATCTATACACAAGATGCCCGCTCTCCCTCGAGGAGACTCTGGTTACAAATTGATACAACACAGTATTGTTGTATCCTTAAATAGTATGTCACATTAATTTAGCGTATAACAGTGTTTGTATAGTAAATTATAGTGTAGTAATGTTCTTTCTGTACTAGTGCATAGTATATCCTCTTGTATGGTGTATAGTGTGTATTGTTTCTCATAATAGTGTGTTTTGACTAGTGTATGAACTGACTCTTTGTATGCTTCATTGTACTAGAAGTAATGAGTAGTGTCTTCCTAAACTATACATATTATAGTTTACTAGTGTTTTTCCTTGAACTGTTATTGAAAAGACTCTTTTATCTACTAAGTTATGCTTGTACTTTAAAAACGGAGTTTTGTGAAACTATAAAGTAACATAACTTTAAAAGAGTTTTTGAAATGTTTTAATCACTTATAAAAGACATAAGCAATCTTTTGAAAGATGTATATAGTAAACATTTACACAATTATCATTGTGTTCAACTTGTATCCCCCCCCCCTTAAAAGCATTTAAAACAGTTAAAAGATTCATTACGGGGTATAAACTCACCTTTTGTGGGTGATTCAAACGAATATGCGCGTAAGGATGAGAAGTTCCACGAGTGAAGTCCCGAGACACAACAAGTCCTAAATGACATATGATGACATATATTGGCATGAATATAGTGTTTAGAAGCAACCAAATGCAAGGAAACACCTCACGGGACTAGGAAACACTTTGACCAAGTGTTGGAATCACATGTGATTCAACTAAGGAATGTTTAAGGCCATGGTTTGGTGTTTACGGCCATGTGTTTACGGCCAAGGGAGTTTACGGCCGTAAACTCATGGTCAAAGATGCATATGAGGGTGCTTGAAGGCTAGGGAAGCTTGAGGGACTTCTGCTCTACACAAAGATGTGAAAGACCAACTCTATGGAGAGTGTTGAGGTGTTTACGGCCAAGGGAGTTTACTCCTGGCCGTAAACTCTCTAAATGGTCACATTTAGGGTCTTAAAGGTAAGGAGTATCAAAGGCTTACATGTCCCAAAGGTTAGCAAAGGCCTAGATGTGTTTAAGGTCTAAGACTTGACCATAATTGGAGTTTACGGCCAAGGGTGTTTACTCTTGGGCCGTAAACTCTCTAAATGATGAGTTTGGGGATGTTTCAAGGTCTTACAAAGAACAAGGGAGTGTTCTAGCCTCAAATCCAAGCCTTAGGAAGAGTTTATGGCCAAAATGGCCTACTTATAGGGGTTTACGGCCATGGGAGATGGCTTGGCCGTAAACTCCTTTTGGGCTTGCTTTCTTGATGATTTCAAGGTTCTAAGCATGAGTCTTAACTAGATATCAAGTATAGGGAAGAGTACTTACGATATAGAGGCTTGAAATGGTCGAATTTGGCCAAGAACACTAGTGTGTGTTCTTGGTGAAACTTGAAGATTTGAAGATCTAGTTAAAATGGATGTTTTCATGAGTGAAATCAAAGAGTGTAACTAGGAGATGAAGTGTAACAACAAATCAAGGAAGGAACACTTACGTTTTTGATGATCTAAGATGATGAACTCGATGATACTTGAGAGAGAATTGGAAGTTCTTGAGTTTGGAAGTGAAAGAATGGCCAGAAATGATCAAGGGCCATATATATGGACTTGAGTTTACGGCCACATGAGTTTACGGCCGTAAACTCATTGGCATTGTGGCCGTGAACTCCTTATGATGAGGTTAAGGCCCGAATGTTGCACAATGTCTCTAGCAGGTACATTCTAACACTCATTCCTTAAGTGTACTAGGCTTAAAACTCCTTAGAATGACCTTTAACCATGCTAGAACTCATTACCAATGAGTCTGACACTCTATTGAGTTGACCGGCTGAGCTTTAAAAGCAAAAAAATTTCGGGTTGTCACAAAAACTCAAAATTATTAATCATTTATTTCAAATAAATTATTTTAAATAAATTATTAATTAAAAGATATTTTTTTAGTTATATAAAATTATACCACCTTATAATATATATTTTATTTTATTTTATTTTTTATTCTAATTTTATTAATTTAATGTAATTAGAGTGTGAAATTTAAAATTTGAAATTTGAAATGAAGAATTAATTATTAATTTAATGTAATTAGAGTGAGAAATTTAAAATTTAAAATTTAAAATGGAGAATTAATAGGTTGACATGTGACATGATAGAGTGAGTACATCATATCATATCATCATATCATATCATACTATATTATAAAAGAAACATTTTTCTTTCACCACATTCATTTGAAACCCCAAACTTTTCATATTTCCATACAATATGCTTAATTTATTAACTTAAATATGCTTTTAGTTGTAAACATTATCATAAATGGAAGAATTTGTGACTTATCAATATGATATTATACTTAATTTGTTAACTTCAATATATAGTTAAATAAATAACCTACATTAATATATCAAAGACTATACTGCACAAATAGTCCCTGTGGTTTGCTCAAAATTGCCACTTTGGTCCAAAAAAGTTTGAACTAGCACCAGAGGTCCAAAACTTTCACTTTGTTGCGTTTTTGGTCCAATCTATTCTGTCTTTTTTTAAAAATGACGGATTTACCCCTATTAATATGATTTGCTTTTTTTCTTATTTGCTTTTCTGATTTTCAGATTAAAAAAATTAAAAATAAATATACAGCTAATAACCCACCAAATCTCACCTCTCTCTCTCTCTCTCTCTCTCTCTCTCTCGTCAAACCCGTCGGAACAGGAAAGCAAAAGCAGCAGAGCTGCCATTGCCGGCCTCTGTCACCGCTGTGGAATCCCATCGGACACCACCAACCTCTTGACGCCACATGAAGATCCCACATCGATGCATGTTCACAACTCAGCTCGTCGGAACCCTAGTTGTAGGGATGATGAATCTCGCGGGGCTTCATCCCGAAATTCCATGGACATCCCCCAAATTCAAAGTTACATTTGATACTTTTGTGATTTGGGGAGTCATAGGACCTGAGCGAATCTTTGGTTCCGGAGGTTTGTATAAAAATTTGATATGGCTTTTTCTAATAGACGGCGTTAGATGCAGGGACGGCGTTCATGGGTGTGCTGTTGTTCTTCGCCTTGCAAAACGAAGGGGTTAATTTAAAGTTCCCTACGCCCTTCTGTATCTGGTCGGAATCGGCGATGAGCAGCAAGGCGGCGGCGATGAGTAACAAGGCGGCGACGACGATCTACTGTGGTGGTCGGATTCCGTTCCAGCGGCTCCGGTTACTATGTATCGGGTCGGAATCGGCAGAGAAAGTGAATGGGTGTGGAGAGGGGCCCGGTGGTGGCTGAAATCTGTGGCTGCGGGTTGTCTTCCTTACCGGAAAAAAAACGAAGGAGGGGGAAAAATTGGTGGTTTTCTCAATTCAGAAAAGAAACGAAGGAGGGGGAAATAGATTAGAGGTTAGGGGATATTTGATGGTGGTGGGTCACGGTGGCAATGGGTGGTCGAGGGTGGTAGCCCTTGATTGCCATTGATTCCCTCTTCGATCCTTGACAATAATTCAGTGAGAGGGAGGGAAAAGGAGGCAAGATGGTGAGGTTTTTTCCAACAATGGTGAGAGAGAGAGAGAGAGAGAGAGAGATTTATTTTCTTGTTTTAGAGAGAGATTTATTTTTATTTTTTTTTTTTTAAATTAGAAAATCAGAAAAACAAATAAGAAAAAAGAGAAATCATATTGACAGGGGTAGATCCGTCATTTTGAAAATAATCAAAACAGATTGGACCAAAGAAGCAACAAAATGAAAGTTTTGGACCACTGGCGCTAGTCCAAACCTTTTTGGACCAAAGTAACATTTTTCGACATACCACAGGGACCATTTGTGCAGTTTTGTCTATATCAAATAAGCTTAAAAATTTAGTGTAAAATTTAAAACCTAAAGTAAAATATCAAATAGTGTTTAAAAAAATTCAATATATATTTTTTAACATAGTTAAAAGGCAAACATTAAATATAATAATAATAAAAGAACCTAAATTGATGAATCGAATTAACTAAAAGGTGTCTGAAAACTATATTCTAACAATATATTTTTAACCTGCGCCGCGCAACGCGCGGGCAGGGGCGGAGCTTCAACATTTTATTTGGGGGGGGAATATAATATGTATAAAAATCAATGAGTAGGGGGGCAGAACCAAAATTTTATATTTTTGGGTCTAATATGTATAAAATTAAAGTATATGGACTAATTGTGATAAAAAAAATCAGGGGGGGCACAACCCCTAGCCCTAATAATAAAGATCCGTCCTTGCGCGCGAGAATTCGTCTGGTATAATCTATACTGTGACACGAGAGAAGAGAAGAGAGATTTAACAATTAACAATATTTTTGATTATTTTGAAAAAAAAAATGTAAATAATAAGATCAAGAAATACAAAGTTACAAACGCCGTAACCACTCCATTTCTTTTCAATGATGCACAAAAAATAATAAGGTGACGGGCGCAAAAGCTTCACCTGCTCCGAACGACTGTCCAATAAGTCCCCAACTCATCAACATCCACCGTTTACCACCCAAAACCTCCGATTCTTCACCGCCACAATGAATATCTTCAGGTTTTGCGGCGATATGTGCCATTTATTCAGCATCCTAGTCCTCCTTCTCAAAATTTACGCCACCAAATCATGTTCAGGTAAACCAACATTTATCTCCATCACTTGCATTTCATCGTTTCCTAGGGTTTTACCAGGGCTTAAGATCAATTTGCGACCTAAAGTAACACCCGTTGTTTACGATAGGGATCTCGCTGAAGACGCAGGAGCTGTACGTCGTCGTTTTTTTGGCGCGCTACTTGAATCTATTCACCGCCTTCATTTCCGTGTATAACACGGTGATGAAGGTGGTGTTTATTGGGAGTTCTGTGGCGATTGTTTATTGCATGCGGTGGCATCATGCAGTAAAACGTTCGTACGATCGCGATCTGGATACATTTAAGTATCAGTTTCTGGTGTTGGCCTGCTTCCTCTTGGCTTTAGTGCTTCATGAGAAATTTACCTTTTTGGAGGTCAGTCATTGTTGATGTTAACCTCAATTTTAGTTCTAGTTATGCAAGTTATATTTGGAATAGCTAGGATCATTGATCAATTTGAATATTAAATTTCAATTTTTTTGGATTTTGTTAATGTGAGCTCAGGCGATTGTTTCACTGTATTATATGACTATGAGCTGTAGGATTGGCTAAATTGAGGACATGTTTATCTTTGGTTAGCAATTGTGAGTGTTATGAATTAATCCCGGGTTTAAGAAAAAGCTTAACCTTAAGCAGTTAAATTCTAATGCAGTGGAAAGATTATTCCCCCACCATGGATCAGCAACGCATCCTTGGTTTCAGTGTAAATTACTTGTTAGAACAATGGACACTTGTCCTAGCTCTTGGCATTTAGGAGAAAACATAGCTTTTTATGTGTTTTTTGAGCATCTAGTTGGTAGGAAACATTAGCTGTGTGATGAAATGAAATTGAACAGAAAGTAATTAGGATTAATGATGTGTTTTTATTACATGGGACTGGGCAAGCTTTTTAGGGCTATTTACAATGATATAATGATGAAGAAGGCTTTCACGTCTTTTGCTCAAAACAAGAGATCACAAGCAAGTCCTTGTTTTGGGTGGGACAAAAAATAGAAATTCTTGTCCCACTGACTTAATCTCTATGCAATGCAAGTTGAATGCATTACAAGGTTATTCTTGTGCAACAAACAGGGCCTAAAGGAATGTAATGTGGGGAGGAGATACTCTGTCTTAACTTAACAGTTTCTTTTGTATACTCTTGACAATCAAATAAAGTGAGACATGAGGTACATGGTATTTGTTGTGAAGTTGTGATGAAAGACCATAGATGTTCAGTCTAGTGGTCAAGTCGAAGATCAAAAGAAGTTAAATTCTTCTTGTATGTTTGTATATTCTATTTAGTGATACCTTATAGTTCTCCATTTTAAAGCCAAAGTGCTCCATCTTTCAATAATAAAATTAAAGGGTAAAAGTTAATGAGATGGATGTACATGGATGTTGTGGGGTTGGGGTAGGGAAAAGATTTACAGTAATATGGTGATAAATAGTTTGGGTAGTGTACTGAATCAATAATGTCCAGCATGTCAATTCTTTTTTTTTTTTTAAGTTATAATCTCATTAACCAACTTTTTCTTTTGGTTCATGATGTGTGAAATTGTTGGTTAGTTTCATCAAGTCTACCAGTTGTATGATTTTGAGAACCCCTCACATGGAGAAAAAATAAGTTTGCTATTCCAATGTTGGGTTAAATGCAAGAAACAGCAACTTACTTGTATTTCTATAGCATTCTACTTTTATTTTTTTTCTATTACAACATAATATCTACCAATTATAGCAAGGTTGTTGTAAAGCAAAGCAATTTTCACTGCTGTCAAAATTGGGTTGGAATTTCAAAGTATAGTGTTCTAATAAGAAAAAGTATGAAATGAAAGTAATAAGCAGATAAGGTTGTATAGTTTTAATATTAGGAATGTGCAGATATGTTGGGCCTTTTCTATCTATTTGGAAGCTGTTGCTATTCTCCCACAGTTGGTTCTGCTGCAACGAAGTGGAAATGTTGACAATTTGACCGGTCAATATGTTTTCTTTCTTGGGTATTCATTCTCCCTTCTCTTTCTTTCCCCCCTCTTCCATATGATTATATATATTTCAAATTATTAATTACTATTTTATGCTTAAAATTATAATTTCTGCTTAACACAAAAACGAAAAAAAAAAAAATCAAACTAGCATAGGCATAGCATACTTTCAACATAACTATGTTCTATAGTGATTAAACCATTATACATTTTGACCTTTTAAAAAGGTAAAAAATGTAGTTTCAATGGTTTATAGATTCTATCAGTTTAGCTACTACACTATTCTTTTTTATGATTATTATCATCATAATAGTAATAATAGTTTAGTGGCTAAACTAAATCGATACAAAACAGAAGTTCAGTGGCTAAGTTGTTAAAATAACAAAAGCACAGTAGGTTTTGCTTTTCTATATTTTGCCCTGATATTATTATGAAGCTGGATAACCATGAAAAATAGTTTTGTAAATGGTCAAAAATAGTATAATAAATCATTCAGAAAATAGGATGCCATGTGCCTATAATTAAAAAAAAAAAAATGAATGAAAATGTGTTTGTTTGCGTTGTATTGTTAGGGCATACCGTGCATTGTATATTCTCAACTGGATTTATCGGTATCTCACACAGCCCCATTTCAATGGATGGATATGTAAGTTAAAGCTTTTCTCTTATTCTTATTCTCTATACATTTCATTTCATTTCACTGTTGTTTTGTTTTGTTTGTTTTCAGCCTGTTTCTCCGGCTTAATACAAACAGCTCTTTATGCTGATTTCTTCTACTATTACTTCATAAGGTACTCAACCACCCAAATTCCCATTCTTTCTCTTCTGTCTTTAACTTTAAGCATAATCATCATAACACAAGCTTTTTTATGGGGAACCCATTTACGTCTTTACTTTTCACCTGGGTGGGACAAAAATTGCAATGTTCTAGACTCAGTAAGACTACTACTACATTACATGAACTTGACCATTTGATACTTCCCTTTCAAAAAACCAAGTTTCACAATATTCATTCAGATGAAATGAATATTTTTAGGAAGAAAGACAAATAGGTGAAACTGAAAAGTTAATAAGTCTAAGACAGGATTTTTGGTTATTATAAGTTCTTAGCAAATTAAGCTTTGTTAACATCCCCTTCCTTAGCTTATTATTAGCTATAGTTTCTTATTCTCATGTCATGTGTATGTGTATGTGTATGTACAGTTGGAAAAGCAATTCCAAGCTTCAATTGCCAGCATGAGCATCACCTACCTGGCTTGGCGTTTACTTCTCATTAAGTGAAGGTTTCTTTTAAATCCAGATACGCCAATGAACATGCATATTACTTTATTAAAAAAATGTAGCTTATGTTTTTTATATAAACATGCTTTTATTTGGATTCATTTCTAACTTGTTTATGTTTTCTTTTTGGTGGAAATATAGTTGTAAGGATCATGAATGTTGATGGTTTAGCAGTCAAGGCCAAATGACTAATTTTCTCCCATATGGTGTTTTGATCGCCTTATTGAAATAATTTTGTTAAATAGTAACCAAGATTTAGTTTTGTTATGCTGTGAAAATGTTCAAAACATATTAAAAGACGATACCACTCACCGGTCATCAAGTTTCTTAAGTGTTTCATTTTTAAACTTTGATTTGTAACCACTCAAAACTTTTCATTTTTTACTTCCCTTTATTAATTGTCTTAAAACTATTGGAACCAAGGTTCTAAAAAGTTTGTCATCCTTGTCGCCACGTTTTAACAAAATGTTGCTTTAATTCATATATGTATATTGTTTTAGCAATGCATTTTACTTTTACTCCAAAAGAATTGTACAATAGGTTAAAAGAATTCTAATATGTTGTTCTATGTGAAGTCTGTGTTTTCCGGAGATTGTGCATGCATAACCAAAACAATTATATAATATGTCAAATTTGGCTAAAGGGCATTTTCGTCTTTTTATCATTAATTTATTCTTTATTTATCAAGTGCCTTTATACCTATATCTTAATGAATTAGACCAAACTAATCTTGATATGAATACGGGTGGGGTGATATCTTTTTGGATTTTCTTTTCTTATGAACGTAACGGAAAATAAGAAACAAGAACAAGAACGATAAGAAAATAACTAAAAAAAAGGATAGATTTGATGGACAACTCAGACTAATAGATTGAATATCAGGTGAAAACTTGTTAACTTGCATTCTTATCAAGATCAGAAAATCATCCGTCAAATGATATGTGATGACAAGCCAAGACCTATTGACTTGAAATCGAGCCACGAATGAAAAATGCGTCCAAAATAATGACAATCCAAATTATACGCAATAATTCAAGAAAGCAAGCACAAACGTTCAAAATTCAACTTCAATCATCTGTATGGATTACAATGCTTTAGGCTGCTGGGTGTGGGCAACATGTTATTACATGTTACCACACCCAAAAGGTGTCACATTATCATCCTAGTCATAAATGGGTGTTATAACACCAAAGGTGGAAATGGACAACACCAAATAACATGTAATAACACCACTTATTTTCTATTTTTTTTTTAATTTTTTTAACGTTTTTACTTTCTATATTTTCGAATTTCTTTATTTTTTATTTATTTATGTCATAATATAATTATAATATAAATTAAATCTTAAATTAAAAATAACATTTAAAAAATAACGATAAAAATATAAATCCTAAATTAAAAACAACATTAAAAAATTACAACTAAGGATAAAAACACATTTAGAAACCAAAAAAAATAAAATCAAAATAAAAATAAAATAAAATAAGACGAAACAAATTACATTTTCGATCTAAATTACTCAACTTCACTGCCATCATAGATATGATCTGCCAAGTCTTCTCGAAGTTGTTTGTGTTTTCGTTGATCTTGGATATCAACGACTATGTAAGTATTTTGCTGTCCCTGGTTGAAATTGAATGTGTCCAGATTCCGTAGGTGAATACTCAACAATGTTTCTTCCTTTATCTTCAATCACCATGTTATGAATAATGATACATGCATACATAATATCTCGTAGTTTGTCCAACTCATATGCTCGTGCCGCATGTTCAACTATGTGCCATTTTGCTTTCAGAACTCCGAAAGCACGTTCCACGTCCTTATGTGCTCCTTCTTGTCTTCTCTTGAAAAATTTATCTCTTGGTTCTATCGGGTGTCGAAACGCCTTCACAAACGTGGAATATGTTGGATATATTTCATCCGTGAGGTAATACCCGAACTTATACTCATGACCATTTACTGTGAAAGGAGCATCCGGTGCCTTTCCTGTCAAAAGGTCCTGAAATATTGGTGACTGATCAAGAACGTTTATGTCATTGTTCGAAAAGCATGCCAAATCCATAAGTCTTGTGATGCAACCGCCTCTAATACTAACGAATGCGATCCAAGATGACCACTTGTGTATTGACCTTTCCACGCCACAAGACAATTTCTCCATATCCACTTTGTGCAATCAATGCTTCCAAGCATTCCCGGAAAACCATGTCGTTCTTCATGCGCCGCATATAGTTGTTGTATGTCATTCAATGACGGTTTGCGCAAGTATTTGTCACCGAAGGTTTCGATAACACCTCTCGCCAATCTATACAAACTTTCTCGTGCAGTACGCTCTGACATTCTCATATAGTCATCAATAGAATCGGGCGATTCCCCCAAAGCCATAAGCTTGATTGCAGCAACACATTTTTGCAACCTGTAAAACTTCGTTTACCTCTCGCATCGTACCTCAGTTGGAAATATTCATACCTAAACATATAATAAAATTTTCAAACAACTTTTTAATAATCTAATAAACATATAATAAAATTTCCAAACAACTTTCGAAAGAACATGTATTAAAATAGAAAATAACTATAATTACGTTACATGCTTTCCATTGCATTGACTATTCGCTGAAATACATTTTTCCGCAAGCGAAACCTTCTTTTGAAATTGTTTGGTTGGTAGACACAATTATCCGCAAAATAATCGTGTACTAGACGTCTATGCCCCTCTTCACGATCTCTGTTCAACGCCGCACGTCTAGTCAGTAGTGGAGCTGGATCTGGCGGTATCATGTCGGTAACATATTGATACATCAAACTCACGAACATATCATCCTCATCGATATCATGATTGTATGGATGGAACAGATCAAAAGGATCCATTTTATAATTAAATAGAGTATGAAGGTAAAATGAAAATTTTTAAAATTGAAAGAGATGGAGATTATTGAAAGAGTTTGGTGAAAATATGAAGAAGGTGAAATATATATAAATTTTGAGTATTTATACATTGTGAAAATAATAAGGAACTTTTTTTTCGTTTCTAAATATGACCGTTTGGAAACGGTCGAAAATATGACCGTTCCAGCCAATCCAAACTCAAAAAACGGACGTTACGTTGCGTTACCGTGGTAACGCCTTTTGCCATAACACCGAAAAACGCAAAAGGGGGGCGGTGTTTAAGGCGTCATAACGCCGATATTCCATGTCCACATCATAATAACACCATTAGGCGTTGCCCGCTCCGTGCCGCCTTAAGGATCTATTTATAGTCTTACAAGCTAATACAAAAGAAAGGACACTAATTAATGAAAATGAAACTACCTAATAAAAGCTTAAAAGAAAAGCAAATAAAATTGTTCCCAAAAATAAGGTAGAGTCTAGAATTTTGGTCCTTAAGAAATCATGCAAAAGTCCACGTGTTTGGAGCCACTCCCAACCAACTTTTGTATCCATCATCAGACGTTCACATCCAATAGTTGTTTGCATCCAATACATGTTCGCATTCACCACTCGTTCGCATCTAACAACTTGTCCACACCTATGTATCCCATCACATCCAAACATCCCATTGGAACTGAGGAGTCCGTCGGAACCAAGTAGCTTTCGCATCCATGTTGCTTTCGCATCCAAGTAGCTTTCGGAACCAACAAGTAACCCATCACCAAACAACAACCCATCAGATCATATTCCAAGAGTCCGATTCGCATCCATTTACTAAGGACTGCCATGGCTTGCGATCGTTGACATCCAATCGCATCAGATAGCATCCAATCACACTCCAAGGTTTGCATTCGCATCTGAAAACACTAGACTGCGATTCATTGCGATCGTTCACACTCAGTTGCAACCAGTCGCAAGTAAGCCTTAAACTAGGAACTTGGCTTACTTCGGAATGGGAACTCGGATTCATATCATTCTCTCCCTCTTTGAAAGAAATTGTCCTCAATTCCATAAGGACTTCATAACATTGTTCTTCCATATAAGCCTCCATACGAATCTTCTGAATTGGCCTCTTCTTTCACTTGCTTCAATAAATTCCTCTTCGGCAACGAAATTGATTTTTTCAAAAACTTCCCCTTCCCCATCAGTGTCGTAGATGGGAACGAAATCTTCTTCCTCATTTTCTTCTGCTACCATTTCTTCTTCCTCCTAAATACCTTCTTCAATTTCTTCTTCCCCATCGTAATCATAGAAGTAACAAAAATCTTCATCATCAGAATCAGTGTCATCGAAATAATCCTCATCTTCACCTAACATGTCCCGAAATTGGATCTCATTAGCGACATTCTGAACTAACTTCTAAAAGAAAACCTTAACAACGAAATCAACAAACTTAGCAGGAACTTTTTTTAACACGACAGCAAAAATCGATACTGAAATATTCAAACAAACTCGATAAGAATTTTTAGCTCTGATACCACATATGATGCAAAACGGGTGGGGTGATTTCTTTTTGGATTTTCTGTTTTTATGAACGCATTGGAAATAAGAAACAAGAACAAGAACGATAAAAAAAATAACAAAAAATGATAGTTTTGATAGACAAACTGGACATGTAGATAGATTTGATAGTAGACCTAGACCTATAGATTGAATATTGGCTTAAAACAAGTTAAGACTTATTAACTTGAATTCTTATCAAGATCAGAAAATCATCCGTCAAATGATATGTGATGACAAGCCAAGACCTATTGACTTGAAATCGAGCCACGAATGAGAAATGCATCCCAAACAATGACGACAATCCAAATTATACGCAATAATTCAAGAAAGCAAGAACAAATGTTCAAAATTCAACTTCAATCATCTGCATCGATTATAATGCTTTAAGGAACTATTTATAGTCTTACAAGCTATTACAAAAGAAAGGAAACTAATTAATGAAAAAGAAACTACCTAATAAAAGCTTAAAATTAAATTAAATTAAATCGTTCACAAAAATAAGGTAGAGTCTAGAATATTCGTCCTTAATAAATCATGCAAAAGTCCACGTGTTTGGACCTGCTCCCAACCAACTTCCGTATCCATCATCAGACATTCGCGTCCAATAGTTGTTCGTATTCACCACTCGTTCACATCCAACAACTTGTTTGCACCCATGTAACTCATTGCATCTAAACATCCCATTGGAAATGTATAGTCCGTTGGAACCAAGTAGCTTTCGCATCCATGTTGCTTTCGCATCCAAGTAGCTTTCGGAACCAACAAGTAACCCAACACCAAACAACAGCCCATCGGATCGCATTCCAAGAGTCCGATTCGCATTGATGAACATTTGGATCATACCAATCCTCTAAAGAATCAGGACTAACAATTAGAATACCATAAATAGTTTATACACCTACAATTTAAAATCATAAGTGAATGTAAAAAAATATTATTCAAACATAAAAAAAAATCTTGTTAAACACAATCATATATAATAAAAAAAATATTTATAAACTAGTTACCTCCGTCTTTATTTTTATTTGAATCATATTCTACCCCTTTTTCTAAATCAGTACCAACTTCACCACCTTCACCTTCTACCATACCTTGTCCATCATTCTTTACTTTATCATTTTGAACTTCACCTTCAGCACAATCTTTAACTAAACTTGAAGCAATTAATTCATCTTCTTTCTTCTTTTCTCCAATAACTTTATTAACAGTATCATCTGAAATTCCTTCTTTATTTTTATCATCAACCAATTTTATAGTTCCTAAATTATTAAAATCATAAATGAATCATCTATACAATTTATTCATATATATTTTATGTATAAACAATACATACATAAATATTTACCAGTCAAAATGTCATTCATATCATCTTCAACTGCTTTCTAATTTATACCACACCCAACCAAATTCTCATTACCTATAATATTCAAAAACACAAAATTAAAATCATATATGAATAAATTATATATATATATATAACAAAAAGAGATGTTTGCCTCGATCCAAATCATGAAGAAATTTTTCAACAGTTGGGTCACACATGAATTGACTAAAACTTATACCTTTCGGAATGTCATTAACATCACCTTCAAAACCATCAACTAGACCAACATTTTGAACAATCGAATTCAAATTCATGACCTCATCTTCATTGAATCCACTTGTAATTCCTTGTTCAACATCTTCATTACAAAAAATTCCTTTACCAACAACATCATCACTTTTATAATTATCCTTATCATTCAACAAATCATTAATTTTACTAAAATGTTCCTCATGTGCATGATCATTAAACATCACCTTCAGGACCATCAACTTTACCTTGAGCATCATTTTTATCATTTTGGTCCTCAAATGCAGTATCATTGACATCCGCTTCAGCACCATCACCTTTCCCTTGATCATCATCATCAACATTTTCATCATCATTTAGAAAATCATTCCCATAATCTTCACCATCATCTTCAAGATCATTTACTTATGTGTCTTCATCTTCATTAACTTATGTGCCTTCCTCTTCATTATTATAATGACCAAAAAGCAGGTGTCAGGACTGGTTGTTCATAATGTAGTGAATAATGACCGAAATTGAATTTTCTGCACTTAAATCTTCATCTAACAACAATAATTTCCAATGTTTCAAAATTTTGACTTTCAGGAAACGTTAACACCACATCATTTATTTTTACAACAAGCTCATTTCTCAAATCCTCAATTTTCTAATACATATCTGAAATATTATTTTAATACTCCTACATAAGAAAAAAAATACTTAAAAGTGAATACTTAATCATAAAAAATAATAAATGAATACACTAATAAAATCATAAATGAATAAAACTATAAAATTACCTTCACATCACTGACTTTATTAACATCAAATTCTTCTTCATCCTCATCAGATAAATCCTCATCCTCATTGGATTCCTCCTCACCGCCATCAGATTCTTGACATTCTTCTTCAACATATAGTTCATTAATCTCTCCACAACCAAATCCTCCCTCCTCTTGTAAAATATCCTCAAGAAACCTGATCTTTTCTGACGTCTAATAAAAAATCGTTGGACATTTACATGTAACTTGCAAATGATTAAACTTGAAAGTATCCACATACAACATGTAGCACCTGGGTTCTTGGTATGTATTTTTATTTAAGTATTTTTGCATTTTTGGCCTTGGACTCGGCGAGTTGAAGGACCAACTCGCCGAGTAGAAGCAGGATAAGGCGCGGGATTTAAGTGATGAACTTGTCGAGTCGGGTCCCGGACTCGACGAGTAGACTCTGACTGGACAAAAACCCTAATCCGAGGGTTTGCACCCTATTTAAACAATGTTATGTCGGCCACAACGTCCCTTATGCTCCCAGAACACCTCTCATTGAAACCCTAGCCGTTATTGAAACAATCTAAGCCTTGTTGGTGGATTTTGGTGCTTGTGGTCTTAAGAAGGAAGGAGAAAGGCTTGAGGAAGCAAGTAAAGACCAAGGGAACCCGAGTTTGTGCACCTTCTACAGTTCATTGAAGGTAAAAAGCTGTAACCTTGCTCTTTCATTTGTTAGATCCCTTTTTGGGGAGATTTAGGGCTTTTATAAGCCACTTTTGATGGCCAACCATGATTGCAAACATGGTTGGAGTTAGAGCTTCGGAATCACGTCATTAAAGGAGGCACAAGGCAGTTGGGGACTGCTTTTGCACCCATGAAAGGCCCCATGCATCTTAAGAGCTTGTTTTATGTCTTTTTGAGCTCAAAGTCCCATGCAAGCACGTAAAGTTTGTAACTTTACGTGCTAGATCGATTATAGAAGCTTGGATCTATCTTTTGATCAAAGGTTGTACATCAGAATTCAAGGATTTAGAGTGTGGACATGACTGACTCGGCGAGTCCGTTCTTGGACTCGACGAGTCCGAGGCTTTGAGCCCCATATCTGTTGAAAGTCAAAGGAACCCAGTTGAGTGTTAGAAGGGTTGTAATCGGACAGGAAGAGTTAACCAATGTATTGGACGTGATTTTAGACCTGGAGTTCATGGGACTCGACGAGTGCTAGAACAGACTCGGCGAGTCCAAGGCAATCTTCTTAAGGATGAAGATGAACTCGACGAGTTGTTCATCAACTCGGCGAGTCGAGGACAGAACTTGTTCATCAGATGAAGGTGAACTCGACGAGTTGTTCATCAACTCGACGAGTCGGATGAGTTTCATGTGATGTTCATGTGAGGGAGGAACTCGTCGAGTTGACGGCCCAGCTCGACGATTTGGGTCATGGATAAGGACGAGTAAAGGGTGAGGGACTCGGCGAGTTGACGGCCCAACTCGGCGAGTCGGGTCAACTTGAAGTTGACTTTGACTAGACTTGGACTGACCCTGTTTAGGGTTGTACTGGCTATGTGTTGACTTGAAGGTCGTCGTGTAGGGATCGAGGAGTCGAAGGGAGTCGACTTGTGCGCCGAGGATAATTCAAACACTGCACGACATTGAGGTGAGTTACCTTCCAGTAGGGGTGGGTCTAAGGCCACAATGCCGGCCCACCAAAGAGGAGTATTTGTAAGATGATTGTCTTTGTGATAATTATCTTGGTTTGGTTATGTGCTTTGGTCACGAGTATTATCTGCATGATATGTTACGTGTATAGTAGGGATTAGGATCCCTGACAGCGGCCCTTAGGGCCGTGGGGTAGGTCAGTACCCGGATATGACTGATTGTATGATTGTACCTTGCTGTTGTATGCTAGTGGTAGGGGGTGGAATAGTCCCCAGTTACCGGTTGAAAGATACCGATGACAGTTACCGGTTGAAAGATACCGACGACAGTTACCGGTTGAAAGATACCGATGATGGTTACTGGTTGAAAGATACCGATGATGGTTACCGGTTTAAAGATACCGATGACGATTACCGGTTGAAAGATACCGATGTTGGTTACCGGTTGAAAGATACCGATGATGATTACCGGTTGAGAGATACCGATGATTTTGTATGGTATGTGGTATGATGGGGGGAACTCACTAAGCTTTGTGCTTACGGTTTCGGTTTTGGTTTCAGGTACCTCTTCGTCTAAGGAGAAGGAGCCGGCGGCGTAGCATCGCATCACACACACACATATGATTTCCGCATGGAGTTTTCTGGGATTGTACTCTGATATGTTATTATTCTATGGCTTGGGTTTTCAGACATGATACATTGTTTTATGAGATGATGTGTTTTCACAGTATTTTCTTATGAATGTTTTTATGTGTTGGTTAATTAAAAAGAAATTTTTGGACCTGAAAATTGGGATGTTACAAGTTGGTATCAGAGCCCTGGTTTGAGGGATTCGGACACACCCTCGGGGGTGTCTGGACTCAAACTGAGGGGCTAAAAGGTTTTTACAAGGAAAAAATGGTTTTCTAAAATCTAAATGAAAGGATTTTACGAAAGACGAAGTGTGTGATGCATGCGACCGGCCGGGCTCAAGTAAGTTTTCCCCAAGATACCCATACTTTATATGTTATGCTATATGGTTTTGATTCAGAAAACTACATGCTAGAATAGGACTAAGGATCTAGGAGGATGCCTTGTGTGCCTGATATATGATTTTGAGAATTGCATGCTAGTTAGGGCTAAGGATATAGGAAGGATGCCTTATATGCCTGCTGTATGAGTTGTATGCTAGGACTGTTTAGTCAGCAGTAGGATGGCCTGTGTAGGTTATGCCTGATTTGGTTACCCAATGCTCGAATGCTGCTTGCTTTGTGCTTTGGGGGTTCGGGCCATTTTCAACTAGCTAAGGAACGGATATGTAACCGTATCCGCAAGTTAGTTAGGGGGCAGTGGTGGGGACTCCTAGTGCAGCTGATGGCGGAGGGTAGGTCGGAGAGTGCCCTAGGAAAGCCTAGGATGAGGTCAGTGGAAAGGGTATCGGTAAAAGGGACTTGGTGAAGTCGAAGCAATCCTTGATGAAAGTACGGGTAGATGTGGAAGGTAGTATGAGCCCGTACTACTGAAAGCAGAGGACCCGTACTCGGATCAAGGAAGGTTGAGACAGAACCGGAACCTTGAACCTTGAGAGTGTGTTAGACCTCTCGAGAGTATGTATGATCCTGACATTTATGCGCGTATTTCCAGCATGGTGACCACGCGACATGGAGCAGGAGGTTCCGGATCAGGATCAGGATCGGGCTCGGGTGCAGGATCCGAGCAGGTTGATGACGGGCTGCGCGAGTTCATCGCGTCAGAGATCACGAGAGGCATTCTTGAGTCGACCCCGATCATTTTCGGGTCGATCAAGGAAGGGATTATTGAGCTGATGGAGGATCGCCTCCGGGCATTCAGGAGTGATATGGCGTCTAGCCAGACGAGTACGCGCACACTGTCCTTTAAGGACTTCCGTGGGAGTGGTGCGCCGGATTTCCATGGGGTGAAAGACCCCATTGCTGCTAGGAGATGGATCGCAGACATCGAGTCTGCGCAGCTGACCAGCTTCTGCCCCGAGGGGTCGAAAGTGAGATATGCAGCAGGGTGTTTGAGAGACAGAGCTAGAGATTGGTGGGAGTCTGTTGGTGACTCATTGGGAGCCTCGGCTGTTGAGGCTATGACCTGGTCAGACTTTGTGACCAGATTCAGGGCGGAGTTTGCGCCAGCTGTGGAGCTTCAGCAGCTGGCCAGAGATTTCTTGGACATGAGACAGACTACGGAGACTGTGGCGGAGATCACCGCCAAGTTCCAGGAGAGGGCATTGTTGGTGCCCCAGTAAGCGGGTGATGAGGACATGAGGAGGACCCACTACCATGATATGTTACGAGCTGACATCCGGGAGCATGTCAGTTTCTCAGCTTGCCCTACCCTGGATTCCATGATTGCCAGGGCTAGGGAGAGGGAGATTGATCTGGAGCACATCCGGAAAAGGAAGGCAGCGGAGGGGCTGACGACGGGGGCTTCGGGGAAGAAGCCCAAGGGATCCGATGGTAGGCCGAAAGGCCAGTCTGGACGGGACCACTATGGGAAATGCGGTCAGTCACATGAGGGAGCTTGTCGCACTGGGCCGGGTTCAGGCTGCTATAAGTGTGGCAAGGTTGGGCATTTTGGCAGAGATTGCACTGCCCCTACTCCTGCGGTACAGATGACAGACCTGATTTGCTTCCATTGCAATCAGAGGGGCCATAAAAAGGCCAACTGCCCGAGATTGTCAGCAGCGGCGCCAGCAGTGGCGCCGGTCTCAGCGACAGCGCGGGTTGCAGATGGCCGGAAGGCCAAGACAGAGGCTCCAGTGGTGCGGAGCCGAGCATTTCAGTTGACAACCGAGGAGGCACGCGCTGCACCTGATGTGGTGACGGGTATGACTTCTTGTTTATGCTTGTATGATATGCTGTTTTGATGTTGATATGTTATGTATGCGCTCTGGTTAGGATCGTTCCATGTGAACGGTATTCCAGTTCAGGTATTGTTTGATTCGGGTGCTACCCGATCGTTTGTCTCTCTTGCGCTTAGCAAGAAGTTTCTAGAGTCTTCGGGCATGTTGGATTGCCCTCTAGAGGTCGAGATTGCGGACGACCGGTCTTTTACGAGCGTCGAAGGTTTACCAAGATTGCGTCCTACGACTGTTTGAGGAGCGTTATCTGGTAGATCTGGTTCCCATACCTTTGCGGGGGAACAAGGTTATTATCGGTATGGATTGGCTGAGCCCCAATGGGGCAGTGATTGACTGTGCGCAGCAGTTGGTGCGGATCAGGACCCCACGTGGGGGAGAGCTGGTAATTCAGGGCGAGAGGCCACTGCGAGGACCAGCTTTATGTTCAGCAGCGAGAGCTAGGCGTTACCTCCAGCAGGGTTGTGCAGGTTATGTCGCCTATGTTATGGATACCCAGGAGGCGGGTAGGGCGACGGTGGGCGATGTGACCGTGGTGCGAGAGTTCGCTGACGTATTCCCCGAGGAGCTGCCTGGGATACCTCCGGAGCGACAAGTGGAGTTCAGGATCGATCTAGTCCCTGGTGCGGCTCCGATAGCCAAGGCACCGTATCGGTTGGCTCCTCCTGAGATGCAGGAGTTGTCTACACAGCTGCAGGAGCTGTTAGACAAGGGATTCATTAGACCGAGTAGTTCTCCCTGGGGAGCCCCGATTCTGTTTGTGAAGAAGAAGGTGATGG